CAATGACATGAGACAAAGTATATGTGAACTGCTGTATGAAAAGTGAATTTACTCTGTAAATCTTCACCCAAATCCTAAAAAAAAAAAAAAAAAAAAAAAAAAAAAGTGCCAAGCTTTAGGGGCTGGGTGAAAACCCTTCAATCTTGGGCTTCAGCTCTGCCTCCTGCTCCTCGACCACTGAAGCTGGAGGCTTTTCTTCACTCAGACAGCTGCTGGCTGCTGAGTCTGACAAACCAAAGGTTGACAAATGAAAAGGCACAGTCCCAATGTTACCAAACAACATGGCAGGCCACTAACTCAAGTCCATTAGAACTCCCAAGATCAGCAGAGGACGATAGGCTGTTGAATGATGAGTTGGTTATGTGCAGGGTTCAAGGATGCCAAAAGGCTAAAGACCTTCCTCAAAGCTGCTTCTTATATACTGGAAGCAGACCACATCCCTAAGGCAGCTACTCAGCTGCTCCAGGAGATTCCACCATGAAGTTAATTACCAGTCTCACCATGGGGAATAACTATATCCAGCTGCCCAGCCACTCAACCAGGCCCAGACAAGATGACAACCACCTTAACTTCCACAGACAGGATAATGTATATGGCTACTAGATATTTTCTTCCATTATAGAGGTTGTCTCTTCACTCTGTTGATAAAGTCCCGGACGCACAAAAGTTTTTAATTTTGATGAAGTCCAATTTATCTGTTTTTGTCTTTTGCTCCAGCTTTTGGTATCTTATCTAAGAATTAATAGTCCAAAATAAGGTCTTAAAGCTTTATCCCTATGGTTTTAGTTTATTTAATGAGTAAAATTTTAAGGAGTAAATTCTTAACAAGTAAATGCAGGGATGCCATATGTGGTGGTGAAGTGGGTAAGGCATTTCACTACTAACCAGGTCATCAGGTTCTAAACCCAAAAGCTGCTCTGGGGGAGGAAGATCCAACAATCTACTTCCCTAAAGATTTGTTGTTGTTGTTGTTATAGTTAGATGTTGTTGAGTTGTTTCTGACTCATAGCAACCCTATGCACAGCAGAACGAAACACCAGCTGGTTCTGCGCCAGCTCCACGATCCCTGCTACATTTGAGCCCACTGCAGTAGGCACTGTGTCAATCCACCTTGTTGAGGGCCTTCCCCTCTTCTGTCGACCCTCCAACTTACCATGCATGACATCCTTTTGTAGGAAATGGTCCCTTCTGACAACATGACCAAAGCAGGTGATACGAAGTCTGGCCATTCTCACTTCCAAGGAGCATGCTGACTGCATTTCCTCCAGGACAGATCTGTTAGTTCTTTTAGCAGTCCATGGTACTTTTCAGCATTCTTCGCCAGCACCACAGCTCAAAAGCATCAATTCTTCTTCAGTCTTCTTTATTCATTATCCAGTTCTCACATGCATATGAAGCGATTGAAAATATCATGGCCTGTATCAGGTGCACCTTACTCCTCAAGGAGACATCTTTGCTCCTCAGCACTTGAAAGAGGTCCTTTGCAGTTGACTTGCCCAATGCTATACGTCATCTGATGTCCTGACTGCTGCTTCTGTTGGCATCTATTGTGGAACCAAGCAATGTGAAGTCTTTGACAAGTTCAATCTTTTCTCCATTCATTGTGATGCTGCTTACAGGTCCAGTTGTGAGAATTTTTGTTTTCTTTATATTGAGATATAATCCATATTGCACTGTAGGCTTCAATCTTCATCAGTAAGTGCTTCAAGTCATCCTCACTTTCAGCAAGCAAAGTTGTGTCATCAGTGTATTGCAGGTTGTTAATGATTCTTCCCCCAATCCTGATGCCATGTTCTTCTTCATATAGTCCAGTTTCTTGGATTATTTGCTCAGCATATAGATTGAATAAGTATGGGGAAAGGATACAACCCTGACACACTCCCTTCTTGATTTTAAACCATGTAGTGTCCCCTTGTTCTGTCCTGGTCTATGTACAGGTTCCTCATGGGCACAATTAAGTGTTTGGGAATTCCCATTCTTCTCAATGTGATCCACAATTTGTTATGAGCCACACAATCAAATGGTTTTGCATAGTCAATAAAACACAAGTAAACATCTTTTTGGTATTCTTTGCATTGAGCCAAGATCCATCTGACATCAGCAATGATATTCCTTGTTCCATGTGCTCTTCTGAATCTAGCCTGCACCTCTGGAAGTTCTCTGTCAATATACTGCTGCAACTGTTTTTGAATTATCTTCAGTAAGATTTTACTTGGTTGCGATATTAATGATATTGTTTGATAATTTCCACATTCTGTAGGATCACCTCTCTTTGGAATGGGCACCAATATGGATCTCTTCCAGTCAGTTGGCTAGGTAGCCGTCTTCCAAATCTCTTAGCATAACCGAGTAAGTACCTCCAGTGGGGCATCCATTTGTTGAAACATCACAATGGGTATTCCGTCTATTCCTGGAGCCTTGTTCTTCACCAATTCCTTCAGTGCAGCTTTGATTTCTTCCTTCAATACCATTGGTTCTTAATCATATGCCACCTCCTGAAATGGATGAAGATCTATCAGTTCTTTTTGGTACAGTGACTCTGTATATTCCTTCCATCCTCTTTTGCTGCTTCCTGTATCGTTCAATATTTTGCCCATAGAATCTTTAAATATTGCAACTTGAGGCTTAAATTTTTTCCTCAGTTTTTTTCAGCTTGAGAAATGCCAAGCATGTTCTTCCCTTTTGCTTTTCTAACTCCAGGTCTTTGCACATTTCATTATAGTAATTGGCTTTTCTGCTAGAGCTGCTCTTTGAAATCTTTTGTTCAGCTCTTTTATTTTGTCCTATCTTCCCTTTGCTTTAGGTACTCTCAGATCAAGGGCATGTTCCAGAGTATCTTCTAACATCCATTTTGGTCTTTTCTTCTGTTCTCGCTTTTTAATGATCTCTTACTTTCTTCATGGATGATGTTCTTGATGTCATCTCCCAATTCTGGCTTTGGGTCATTGGTGTTCAATGCATCAAATCTAAATAAAGATTTATACCCTTGGAAACCCAATGGGGTTCTATATGAGGCAGAATCAACTCAATGGCAGTGGGTTGGGTTTGGTTTATGCTGCGGCCGTGGTGGAAAGTTTGGTTTTTAGTGCCCTGCCTACCAGCTTCGTCTCTGGCAACGCCAGGCACGGGATAAAGGACCAAATGGTGGTGGAGATAGCAAGAACCAGGACTGGAGGAATCAGTCCCCTTCATTTGTCCTAGCTTTCCCTGCTAAATAATCCAGAAGGCAGAAACTTTGGAGTCTGGGTTGATTTTCTGTCTCGGAGACCCGTGCATATACCAGCTCCCTGGAACCGCCTATGTCGCCATATTTATATCCCTTCCGGGTTTTCCCGTTCACTGTCCCTCTCTTCCCAGGAGGTGATCCACTTCCGTATTTTACCCGGTGCCTGGAAACGCCAGGGCGTGGAGGCGGTAACGCGCACGCGCGCTGGGGTCAGGCCCGGGCTGAGCGCGCGGCCGGAAGATTGCGAGTGAGATAGGGGTGGGCCTCGGCGTGGGTGGTTGTCCCTGGGGTCGCTGGGGGGATCACAGCCGGAGTTGGAGCGGGCGGGGGCGTTTCTCGGGTCATGCGGGGCACCAAGCGGGGACCGTGGATTGGAGTTGACCAAGGCGGCAGGGGCTGGACGGGGTGTGGGGCTGGGGGCTGCGCTTGGGCCGCGGTGACGCGGGGCGCCTGGGGGAGCCGGAGGCGGGTGCCAGGCGGCTGTTTCTGGTCGCGAACTCGCGGCGACCTTGGCAGAGTCACTTCATTTCCCCAAATCGGCTCCTTGGTCTGTAAAATGAGAATTACAAGCTCGGTCTAATAGATGGGACCCTTTTGAGGTTCAGTGGAGAAAACTCGCTGAGCGGTACCAGGATACTAACTAGGCCGTTTGCCGGGTACTACCTTAAGCCACAGGATAAGACAGAAAGGGCTTCTTGGATATCAGTTTGTTACAGGCTTTTGCGAAGAGCTCTCAGTTTTATAATTCAAAAACTTAAGGCATGTAGTTGCAGAACTTTTGTTTAAGATAGAACAGGAGCTGTCAAGGAAATTGAGCCCTTGCTGTGATTAGCATCCTTGTGGCCGACGTTCCCCTGCTGTTACAGGGACACTCACCTCTACCTGTGGAGATAGCTCTGAAGGATTAGCGACTGGTACTGGCCAGACCCTTAGCTTTTGGTGAATTAATATTTGTGATTTGTTTTGTTTGAAAACCTTTCCCGCCCATGTAGGAAAATAGTGATGCTGGCCAAGAACCTCAGTGTCTGCCCGTGCGAGGTCTATAACAAATTATTCACTTGTCCAGTTAGCAAATTTTGTAGAGATTGGGTATGGAAAAACTCATGGCGCCAGTCTTATGGTGGTGGTGTGAGATAATCAGGAGCCCTCCCTGTGGTACACACGGGTCTATTGTAATAGATACTCAGTTATGAATAATAATAGAAGGTTACAAAAGTAGAGATGGATGTTTTAAGTTGGGAGAAATTTAGAATATTTGAATTGTCTTAAACTTTTCACTGCAGGTTACTTAACGTGCAGATACCCATGCTCTGAATTGCTGTCCCTCTACTGACATGGCCCACCGGGGTGGGGAGAGGGACTTCCAGACTTCTGCAAGGCGCATGGGCACCTCACTGCTCTTCCAGCTTTCAGTGCATGAAAGGGAACTGGACCTGGTTTTTCTGGATCATAGCTATGCCAAGCCCTGGAGTGCCCACCCAGATGCCAGTAGTGCCCGCCCCACGCGCATGCTCTTTGTTACTCCCAGGAGGCAGCACGAAAGTACCATGTGAGTTTGGGCTTCTCTTTAAGGGCTGCTGGTGCCCTAACTGCAGTGATGGAATGGTGGGGATTAGAGAGAATTTTCTTGGGGATGATGTGGGAGATCATATGGGGGACTGGGACGTTTAATTCAGGCATCTCTGTTAAGCGCCATAAGGATATCAGGCCTAAGTGTGGGCATCTGCATACTAGGGTTGTGATTATTAAAGCTTGTTTCCTCTGGTGGTGGGCATTAGAGGACAGAGGAAAGCAAGGTGTTCAAAGGAAAATGGAAAACCAGTTCCATTTATATCATAGGTCTTGTGTGAAAAGAAGAAATTGAAGAGGATTATTTAAGTGCTGCTGAAAAAAACTGACTTGATTTTAAAAATTGCCACACAGGCTTAAAGTCCTAGTCCTTTGAGTGTAGTGTTCTAGTTTGTTCTGTTTGCAGTGGCACCAGCAGACTTTTTATGGTAATGCATTTTGCTTTGCCTGCCTTCACATGCAAAAGATTAGGAGCAAATACCCAACACATTGCCCTCTCTCTTAGTAGCCTGTTACAAAATGCCACCCTTGGGGTTGCTTAGTTAGTTCTTAGTTCTGTTTATATTTTCAGCAGGCCTATATTGCAGAGTAAGGAATTTTCATATTTTTTTTACTTAATAAGTGATGTAATTATATTTGGCCTAAATAAACTTGTTTAGCAAATCTTTTGAGCTTCAAGTGATTCTGATTTCTTGTATTTCAAGATTTGTTATGTTCTGTTTTCATGACACTATCTTGCCATTAATACTTTATAAACTTTTTGAGAGAAGAGTTGTAATTTTTTTTTCTTTTCTTTTTAAGTCTTACCCAGTGTTTAGTCTTTCCTCAAGCCTGAGGTTTTGGGTTTATTGGAGGTTGTTGTTGTTGTTGTGTGCCGTCGAGTCAAACCCGACTCATAGCGACCCCTCCTTGGGTTTCCGAGGCAGTATCACTACGGAAGTAGGATTGCCCAACCTTCCTTCCGAGGAGTGGCTTAGAGATCATGAATTCTGGTGCTTCAGACAATCTTCTCCCATCCAATTTAAACTTAATAAGCTGGAGGTACCATCATACGTGGGTTTTAAACACATGTAGAATACCAAAAACCAAAGTCACTGCTGTTGAGTTGATTATGGCTCATCATGACCCCCATTGAGTTTCCAAGACTGTAAATCTTTACAGAAGCAGACTCCCTTATCTTTTTCCCATGGAACCATAAGGTGGTTGGTTTGAACTACCAGCCTTTTTGTTAGCAGCCATATGCCTTAATCACTATCCCACCAGAGCTCCTACATCTATTGTAGTGTTTTTATTTATTTGCTAATGAAGGCTGCATTATGTTGTCTTTTTTCTTTTTGTTTTGGTTGTACAGGGCACTAGGTCTATATCTTTAGGAAATAATCTGCCATAATAATGATGTGTTTTAGCTAGGGCATCCCTGAAAAGCTCTGTAAACAGAACTTGAAATATTTTTTTCTTAGCTCTGTATTACATTGTTCTTGCTGATACTGAAATTCCTATGTACATATGACATTTCCTTAAAGTGAAATTCCATGGACTTGATGTTGTCATTACTTGGAAACTTATCTCTTTTTTGAAAATAAGCTGTCTCAGTATATAGACTCTGAGAGTGGGAGTTTAGCATGTTCTATGAACTGTTGAAGGCCATTGTAGCTGGAAATGGTTGTGTAAGTGGGAGCATGGGAGAAGTTGACAGAGCTACCTCATGTAGGAATTTGCTTTGTAAGTGTTAGTCATTGAAGGATTTTAAACTAGAGATCCCAATCTGCACTTTTAAAAGATCACTTTGGAATTTTGTTGAATAGATTATAGGAGTGCAGGAATTCAGAGGATCAGCTAAGAGACCATTTGGAGCAGTCCACCTCAGAGATTATGGTAATTCTCATCGGGGTGGGAGCACTGCAGTTGGAGAAAAATGAATGGTCTTGAGATCTATATCCTAGATAGAGCCAAAAGGGCCTGCTGTTTGAATTAGAAAGAGGGCCAAGGTTAAGAGGAAAGGTGAAATTAGGATGACTCAGATTTCTGGCTTGAGCAGCAGGGTGAGTCGTGGTGCCATGGGTTGGGGAGGATAGGTTTGGGATGAAGTCAAGAGTTCTCTTTCATGAATACATTTCAAAGTGCTTAGCCCAATGTCTGGCATAGAGAAGATAATCAGCTCTTTTGTCTACTACCAAATCTAACTGTACATTATTTCACTTGGTTTCATAATGATGTGATTATTCCAGTCATTGGGAATGGTTGCGGTAAAATCATCAAGGTCAAAAAGTTAAAGTGATATTTGGTGTAGACAGCCATAGACCAGTTGGGAATAATATTTTGCGGAACAGTGACAAAGAAAATTGGTACAGTGTACCATGAGATGGGGAAGGACCCTCATGTTAATATTTCATTAACATCATTTTAAAATATGAAAAATCCTTCAGATGCCCATGTAGATGTGTTTTTGTTCTAGGTTCCTTGCAAAATAAGTTAAGTGTCTCAGTTCTATGAGATCCTTGACAATCGTAGGCTTTTACGAGTTTATAGTTAACTTGCTAATGAAAGGCCAAGTTTGTGTGAATACTTGAAAACTCTAGACCAGTACTGTCTAACAGAAGTCTGCGGTGATGGAAATGTTCTCTATCTGTGCTGTTCAGCCATGTGTGGCTGTTCAGCACTTGAAATGTAACTAATGTGAATGAGGAGCTAAATTTTAAATTTTACTTAATTTATTATCAGTTTGAATTTGCATTTACATAGTCATTTGTGGCTTATAGCTATATACCAGCTCTGGTAGCGTCTAAGGTGTCTAAGGCGCTTGACTCCAAACCAGAGGGCTGGCAGTTCAAACCCACCAGTTACTCCTCAGAAGGAAGGTTGGGCCATCTACTTCCGTAGTGATACCACCTCGGAAAACCACATAATAACAACAGGCTACTATATTGGATGTCACAGGTCTAGACAGTCAGCTATTTGCTTTTGGAATTCTGTATGTCTTTTTTAAATTTTTAAGTACATTTCTGTTGTATTTTGCTTAGGCTCATTTTTAAATGACTTTGTTCCTCCTCCATATACCAGCATGTCAGTGAAGGCAGAGATCTAGGCAAGTGTGGGAAAGATGTCTTTGCATCAGTGTCTGCGGATGTAATGTGTTTATATAAAATTTTAAAGCTGACTATATTAAAAAGATATTTTTTGGCAACCAGATGATCGTTAAACACCTGTGTTGTGAAGTATGCGTGGCCTGGTCCTATTTCCTCACCTGTTTACAGTGAATCAGACGTCCCAATAGATGTAGAGACGGTCACGTCAACTCCTGTGCCACTCTATGACAATCAAAAGGCACGTAGCGTGATGAACGAGTGTGAACGGCACGTCATCTTCGCCAGGACCGATGCAGATGCCCCTCCCCCACCAGAGGACTGGGAGGAGCATGTCAACAGGTAGGCTGCTCACAAGGACTGGTCGGGGTTAATGGTCAATGCCTCATAATTATTTTCTGTCTTCTTCATTCAAACACATTTATTAGAGCTTATTTTGTTTGCTGCCTTACAAGTCAGAATTTTCTCCTCTCACTGTTGTAACTCAGTTTACTGTTCTCTGAGCTCCTTTGGAGCAGGGCTTGTGTCTCAGCCGTCTTTGTATCCCTGACACTAGGACACTGCCTGGCACATAGTGGGCATATAAAAAATGTTTTCTGAATAAATAAATGAATTATATTTGATAGCTGTGACTAGCTTTGTAGCTTATATAGTATAAGTTACAATATAGAGGTCACCTAGATGCCAAAAAAATAAATATTTGATATATGTACAATTGTAAGATACTGTGTTTTTATGCTGTGTAACTTAGCATAGTGAACATGTTTTCACATGAAAAGCTAACATATTTAATTGAGTGGTTTTAAAAAATAGATTTTGAGTAGGTACTTAAATTTGTTTTCATTAGTTTGTTGGCTAGTTTTGTTCCTGTGCTGACTACTGCTCCCAGGGGATTCAGCCTTCCTCTCCAGGTCGTCTTTCTGTTGTGTATTTGGCAAACATTTATTTATTTGCCTGTCTGATAACAACTTTGTATTCACATACCATAGAGGTCACCTAATGGACACATACAATTTGATGGTTTGTAGTATATTCGCAGAGTTGTACAACTATCCACCACATCAGTTTGATAACATATTTATCACCCCCATAAGAAACACTACCCGTTATCAGTCACTCTCCATTTGCTCCACATGCTCCTAGCATTAGGCAACCACCAATCTCTTTCTGTCAATAGATTTACCTATTCTGGATATTTCATATAAGTGGAATCATATGTAGCCAATTGTGATTGTCCTCTTTCACTTACTGTAATCTTTTTAAGGTTCATCCATGTTGTTGCATGTATCAGCACTTCATTTCTTTTTATTGGCAAATAATACTCTATTGGATGGATATACAGTGGAATCTATGAGAACCAGAACTCGATGGCACTGCCTTGTTTTTCTTGGTCTCTCAAGTTTTCCACCTTTGACAGGATGCAGTGTTACCACTTTTCTATCACTTTGTATTAGTGGAATATGTTTGAGTTTTCCTTCTCTGACACATTTCTTCTTTACATACTGGCTTTTGCAGGTTTTTCTGTACCACATTTTGTGTGTCCATTTATCAGTTGATGGACATTTGAGTTATTTCTGCTTTTCACCTCTATAAATAGTGCTGCTTTGAACACTCATTTACAGATTTTTATATGGCTGTGTTTTCATTTTTTTGGGGGATATATATATATATATATATATATATATATATATATGACTGGAATTGCTGAGTCATGTGGTAACTATATTTAATTTTTAGAGAAACTGCCAGATTGTTTTCCAAAGTAATTGCAGCATTTATATTCCCATGAGCAGTGTATGTGGGTTCCATTGTCTCCATATCCTTGCAAACACTTGTCTTTTTTATTATAACCTTTTTAGTGGGTGTGAGTGGTATCTCATTGGGTTGTTGATTTATTTCCACTTCCCTAATGGCAGTTTAAGGAGCTGTGGTGGTATAGTGGTTAAAGCATTCCACTGCTAACCAAAAGGTTGACAGTTTGAACCTACCAACCGCTCCATGGGAGGAAGATGAGGCAGCCTGCTTCTGTAAAGATTTAAAGCCTTGGAAAAAGCCTATGGGGCAGTTCTGCTTTGTTCTGTAAGGTTGTTCCAAGACAGTGGGCTGGGTTTTTGGTTTGATGGCAGTTTATTTTATCTGCTGTGTGCAAGGGAGTGCTAAAATCTTTACATCAGGAAATGGCATATGGTAAAGTATTGGAAAGCTATTGGAAAACTATTGTTTTATGGTAATAGAAAAAAGAGAGAGAGATATAATTTATTAGGAATAGGGTAGGAAAGTCTGAGGCATTGGGCGTGATTTATGAGTCTGGTTGCAGGTGAGGAATGAGATGGAGCAGGAACGCTTGTATGATCAAGATAGCTATTGAAGGAGGAGCACTTTGGTTTAAGGACTTATGAAGAAGGAGGTTAAGGTCTTAAATGGAATTGGAGTTGATATAGCATACTAAGAAGCTCCAGAGCTTAAAATAAAGAGGAAAACTGTTATGAGTGAAGATCAACTACTGGAATATTGCCATAGTCACTGAATTCATCAAGAGTTTATTATTACTGTTGCAATTAATAATAATAATTACAGTGGTAGTAACAAGAAAGAACTACTATTTATTGTATTGTTTTTTAGGTGCCGGGCATTGTGCTAAGTGCTTCATGTGCATCATCTCTTTTAATCTGCAAAACAACTCCCTGAGGCATATTCCTTCTTCATCTTTATTTTACAGATGAAAAAACTGAACTCAGAGAGTTTAAGAAACCTTAGTTAGGAAGTTATGGAGCAAGGATTTATTAAAACCGAACAGTCTGACTTCAGAGCCCAGTTAGTTTTCTTGACTCCTGTACCCTTTGCAGTAAAAAGAGAGTAAGACCAGTTAAGTGGTGGCTGACCAAAGTGGCCTCATATGGTTATCTGTACCTTTGTGGTATTGTCTCAGTTGTAGTTTTAGAAACAACATGCATGATGATTTTTATTAGTTCACTCATGGTCATGGTCAAAAGGTTTTTAGAGACTTCTACATGCTTATCAAAGTCATCAGAGATTTAATAATAGGTGAGAATGTCAGTTTCTTAATTTATAAGGAGAGCTATAACTGGAGAAGCAGACGGGAACACCAAGGTGGCCTGGCCAGAATATGCTCTTCCCAGCAGAAAGTCTGGGAGATTATTCTTCTCAAGAAGTGGGTAGGTGAATGGACAATCTGTGCAGTCGGCACCATCCTTCAGCTCCTGGATGTGTACCCATTGTTCCTTTAGGCAAGATGGGCTCACAGAGTGGGCCAGAGCACCCTGCAGAGAAACACTGACAGATTCTTGTCTTTGGCTTGTCTTTCTCCAGTCTCCATGTGGACCTCCATCCTTCTGTTCTGACATTGCCACAGATTGATACGATTAATTAGAGCTCAGTTTCTCTCAGATAATATATGTTTTCGTGTCTGATGAGATTTTGGAGGCGTCCTCTCATTAGCAACAGGCTTACAAACCATCTTTTCAGGTAGGTCACTTTTGCACATAGCTGATTTCATTATTTGATGTTACTTATGAGCTTCAGTTTCAAGGTCATTATTTTATGACCTTGTCCCCAAATTCTAGAGCTGAAGCCTATTGGGAGCTTACAGTTCCTTCTGATTTAATTATAATCATCTTATTGCCATTTGTTCCCTTGACTTGGTTGTTAAATTGCTGCTTCCTTTCTTCCTGTATAAAATCATGTAAAATTACAGTTTCCCACATTAGGAACTCCATGTGCTACTATAGGACAGCTCCTTAGAAATCTGTATTTTTTTGTTCTAAGGAGTTACTGATCTTTCTTTATCTATGGGATCACAAACTTAATTTCCTTTGTTAGGGCTTGTTTTCCCTCCTCTCAAATTATTTCAGTAGAAGCTGCCTTCAGATAATTTTTTATATATAGAAAATTAACATTCTTCCCAACTGACCTTCTCTAGGAGTTGCTGTTACCTCATAAAGCAGTTTAATTTTGATTTATTTGTGTATATCAAGGGTTGGCAAACTATGGCCCTTGGACCAAATTTGTTGATTGCTTGTTTTTATGTGGCCTCAAAGCTAAGAAAAGATTTTACATTTTTTAAGTGGTTGAAAAAAATTAAAAGAAGGATAATATTTTGTGACACATGAAATTCACATTTCACTGTCCATAAATCAAGCTTTATTGGAACACAGTCACACTCACACTCACTCATTTATATATTATCTATGGCTGCTTTAGTGCTGTAACTGCAGAATTGAATAGTTGTGATAGTGACCATATGGCCTGCAAACTAAAACATTTACTGTCTGGCCTGCTATAGAAAAGTTTGCTGACTCGTGGTCTAGATCATGTTCTTCTGTTTGCATGTCATGGTCATGCGACTTGGATAATATTTGAAAATGATCTGAATTTAGTGGCACAGTAATACAGTACTAAAGAAGTTGAACCAGTTTTGTTTTATTTCCCAGTGGTTTGTCAAAGCCAACACTCATTAGATACAACATTCATTAGATAACATTTGTTAGACATTTAATAAACTACTCCTGTCATATGATGCTTCTTGGCATTGCTCAAATGGATTTTAGGACATTACCAACATTTTAGTAAAAGAAGCCAGTTTTATAAAACAGGCCATCTTATCTTAGAAATCATACTTTTAAATTGTAGCCCAAAAAAATCATTCTCCTTTTCTAAACTTTCTCTAATTATATCTCTCAATATTGTATGCACCAATCAATACATAAATCTTAGGTTAGATGTTTAAAATTCTGAGTCAAAATCTTTGAATTGCTTGTTATCTTCTGTCCCTTATTTTCTTTCTGCCTTTTTTCTTTCTTTCCTACTTATTCCTAGCATTTAAACAAGTAACTTTTGTCATCTGAAAAGAGAAGTGTGAACTACTCAGTCTTTGATATTCTTTGTCTCTCCCTAATGCTTAGTTTCAAAAAAAAGAAAAAAAAAATCCTTTAGACATTTTAATATTGAATAAGTTTCTCTTGAAGCAATATCAGAGGAGGAATGATTACCTTAGAAAACCCAAGACTTTTCTAGGACCAGTGTGAAAACCTGCCTGCTTTGAAGAGGAAGGGACAAAGATCAAAATGTCATTCAGGTTTAGTCAGAGCATAAAAAACATAGGATTATCTGATCTCATCTAATAAATGAAGAAAAGGCATTTTTGTACTCATGAAAATTGAATAGATTTACGGGGAGGGAGGCAGTTGACTCACCATTGTTCCCATCAGCTATTTGACTGTTTAGACTTGTATTTAAAATTCTGTCTCCTGTTTTTATATTTTCCCTTAATTACGTCTTTGGGATACTGTTTATCTTAATCTTGAGTACATCATTTTTTTTTTCCTGCCCACTTAATTTTCTAGCCCCCACAAAGCTGACAAAATACAGAGAATATGTTTTAGTTCTTGGAATCACTCTGTAATATATCCAGCAATAACCCTAAGAGCTTTTTTCTTGGATTTGAGACTCTCAACATTGTGGTTTTGTAATTTGATTTCTGCTGTCATTGGTGTATGATAGTAATTGCTAAATAGATTTCTTACTTCCTCCCATCTCCTTTGTTGTGCACATCACTTTCCTTGCTTACATTATTTTGGGTATCAGAATAAGTACAGAGTAAGTAAAACATCTTGTTAAATAATAAAGAACTGGATAATTATGGAAATACTGTTAGTGTCTTATAAATAAATTATACTTCATTTTCTGTTTTTGGAATTAATGTTTGCAATATGATCAATAGGCCTGGAGAAAGCGCAATAGATATTGAACCTGAAGAAATTGTATTTGTTGTTTAACATCCTGGTTATTAAAAAAAAATTGTTGATGGAGTAAGGTGCAATATAATACCACTTCCAAGGTGTTGCTTATTCTTTATACCTACTATTTTCACATTACTGGAAAATCAAACTTTTTAACACAGATAGCTTTTAATCTTTTCATGTCAAGAAATATTTTCTACAGAGATACTTGCATGAGTGTATAAAGGTATAGATACTACCACCACCACTACTCACTAATGTCAAGTTGACTGCGACTTACAGCAACCCCTCCTTGGGTTTCTGAGGCGGTATCTCTATGGAAGTAGATTGCCCAATCTTCCTTCTGAGAAAGATACTGATAGATGTGTGTGTGTGTATGGCGGGCAGGAAGAAATGGTCAGATGGTCACTGCAACTCTATTTTTAATACCAATAAAAGAGATACAACCTAAATGTCCACCAATAGGTAGAACTTTACCAGTTATTAAAAACAAAGAGGTGTATTAGTATGGAAGTACATCCACGTAGTTCCAGGGAGCTTTTTCAAACTACTTGTCAGTACTGTTTGTCTTCTGCTACCACCAAATCCTCAAGTCCATCTGAGAATTCCTATACATGAGGGATGCCATTCATGTGAGCGTGTTACATATTTCATAATGTGAAAGAAAAAGAAGAGATATGAGGCATTGGATTGCAGTTGATCGGCTTCACAAGTCTTAACAGACCCTGGTCCCAAGGTATACTGAGTCCCAGCAGTGAGTTCCTAACTCCAGAATCTCTGAAACCAGAACAAAACCTGACTGCCTCCTGATGAGGCAGCAAGAATTAAGCCAAGATAACTAGGTGAAAGTAAGAAAAATGAAAAAACCCATGAAACTATGACTGCTTCTAAAAGGGGTTACAACAGTTTGGGAGGCTATGGAGGCTAAGAAGAGATTTAGCAAGGAAAGAAACTGATGACAGAAGGGCTCTGAGGAAGAGAGGTTACTCTGTTTCCGTAATCATGGACTTTAACTGCTGTCATTATAATTTCCATCTGTAGTCATAAAACCACTTGCTGTCATGTCAGTTCTGACTCATAGCAACCCCATATGTCAGAGTAGAACTGTGCTGTACAGAGTTTCCAACTGCTGATTTCTCAGAAGTAGATCACCAGGCCATTCTTCTCAGGTGCCTCTGGGTGGACTCAAGATGCCAGCCTTTCAGTTAGCAGCCTAGTGTATTAAACATTTGTACCACCCTCAATAATCATAGCTAATCTTTATTGATGACTTTGTTATTGCTAGAAGGAACCTGAGAGTTTATCTAGTCCATGTCTTTATTTCAGAGACAGGAAGATTCTTGGCACATGTTGTTGGTGGTGTTATGTGCTGTTGAGTCGGACCCGACTCATAGTGACCCCTCCTTGGGTTTCTGAGATAGTATTACTATGGAAGTAGATTGCCCCATCTTCCTTCCGAGGAGTGGCTGGTGGGTTTGAACCGCCAGCCTTCTGGTTAGCAGTCAAGTGCCTTAGGCACTATGCTACCAGAGCTCCCTCTTGGCACATAGCCAGCTCTTTATTGCAGAGCTGGGATAGAGCCCTGGATTCCTGACTCTTGGTTAGGGTTCTTCTAGACTTATCTGTGTAGTTGTGGTAAATTGGAAGGGCTAGATAGATATGTGGAGATTTTACTGTATAGAAGGAAAACAAGTTGGATCATTATTTTCCTCTTCTTTAGAGTTTATGCTCTTTCCAGTGACATTGGGAAAGTTGCATGAATAATAAAGGGTGATTTCTCCTCCATATATATACTTTCCTGCTGCTTTATCAGCTGCGTTATTTGTGTCCTAAGAGAGATGACCTGTAGAAATTAGGGTATCTTGTGGGTTCAGGGTATGATGGAAATGATGCTAGTCCATTATGAAGTAAGAGAAGTTGAGATGGTCCTAGGTAGCTCTGCTGCAATTTTTCAACCCTGCTGTGGTAAAGGACTCAAGTTAAACTTAAATTACCATGTTTTAGTATTTACTGCCATGTAGTACCCATGTGTTGAATATGGCATGCAGTGTGAGGGTTTGAATCTGGACTTAGCTGTTTATAGAACTTAGAATATGCACACAATTCATCTTTTTTTTTTTTTTTAAGCAAATATTTTTTGAGTCCCTAGTATGTGTCAGATACTGTTCTGCATGCTGGGGAAATATCACTTACAAACCAACATCCCTGCCAACTTGCCCTTTACATTCTAATTGAAATGAGGAGACTGACTAAACAAGACAGTAGATAGAATGTGAAGTGGTGATACTGCTGGGAAGAAGCTAGAGAATCCAGGAGTTGGAATGGAGTATTGCAGGTGTAAATAGGGGGAGTCAGGGAAAGCCTCCATAGAAGGTGACAGCCTGAAGGAGATGAGGGAGGGGGCCATTGTTTCTAGTAGAACATAAGGGCAAGAGCATGCCTGATGCACAAAGTACGTGAGGGAGCAAGCAGCCTTGGATGATGAAGTTGGAGACAGCCCATGGCAAGAACTTTTGGTTTTTAGTTGATTGAAATGGGAACCACTGGAGGGCCTTAGCTGAGTGACATAATCTGAGTTACATTTTTCACACTCTCGCCACCCTGATTATTATTGGACTTGTTAATCTTTACCCATTTGGTAAGTGAAAGATATTTTAATTTGCATTTGTTTAATTTTGAAGTGGGTTTGCTGTTTATACTACTTCTGTGAACTGCTTTTTCATGTTCTTTTCCCATTGCTTTTCACTTTTTTTAATTTTCCTTGTTAATTTTCTAGAACCTTTTTCTGTTTTAATGAAATGACAATTATTTTTCTGTTTTTTTTTTCGATTTTATTTATGATAATTCCTTTTTCCTTTACTGAAGTTAAATTTTTATGTAGTTATATTTATCCCTGTTTTCCTTTTATTTCCTCTAGGTTTTCATACCTAGAAAGGTATGATACCTTTCAATACCTAGAAAGGTCTTACTCATTCAGGAACATCTTTTTAAATCACTGCTTTTTTCTGGGTGCTTTACTAGGTTTGTTTATTGCACTTTTCATTCCATCTGAAATTTCTTTGGCATGAAGAGTGATACTTAGGCATCCAGATTTTCTTTTTCCAGTTGGCTAGCCAGTTGTTGCAGTCTTACTTGCTGACTTTATCCTTTCTGATTTGAAATGCTACCTTGATCTCATTCCAGGTTTCCATTTGGGCCTAGCATCCACTTAAATTGAAAAAAATAATTATCAGGACTTTTTTGGCAGGGAGAATGGGTAAACAGGTCCTAATTGAGCATCTTCTACTGTTCCATTGCTTTTCTCTTAGTATGTTTAGGGAAATTACTGGCCAGAGTTAGGATATCAGAGTAATTAAGATGGAGTTAAATAAGTTCCAGATTACTGTGCTGTGTGTGATGAGGTAGATTTAAGAACAGTAGAACAGGGTTTCCAACTGCAAAGAGTTTGTAGTTGTGTTGAAGAAGAACACATAAAGTCACAGGAAATAAGGTAGCAGTATGTATGTCAGTGTTTTATGCTTGAATAATAAAATATAATTTATGTGGAACAAACCATCAAAAATAAAATTGCTAATTATGTGATATATGGGAAAAAATGCAGAAAAAATATCTGTGGAAAAAGGAGACAGATCAGTGTTGGGTGGAGTATTGGCAATGGGAGAATAGCTACTTCATTAGTTATGTTTTTGTTCCTAAAGCTAATTTAGGAGCTCCGGTAGCATAGTGCGTAAGGCACTTGACTGTTGACCAGAAGGCTGGCAGTTCAAACCCACCAGCCACTCCTCGGAAGGAAGGTTGGGCAATCTGCTTCCGTAGTGATACTGCCTCGGCAACCCAAGGAGGGGTCACTATGAGTCGGATCCAACTCGATGGAACATAACAACAACAACAACAACAAAGCTAATTTAAATAAGCCTCTTGTCCTAGTCTCAGCTTTTAGTACATTAAAATGCTTGCTGATTCTGTCTGCTTTTTCTTGTGTGAAATATAAAACTTGTCACATTCAAATATGTCTATGCAGTGGTGCCATACTTTCATTTGCTTATGGTATTATTTTATCTGTTAGGTAAATAAATAAATTTGCTAGCACTCTAAAGATTTCATTTATAACTGGTCTTGATGTGTTATAGTATATATATTAATTAAAATTTGTGCTGAGGTGATTTGTTGGTAGGATTGGGACCAGAATCTTGTCTATGTGTATTATTAGCTCAGTGGTCTTAGACTAAGCTACTCGTAAGTTGTATTCTCTCATAATGGAGCAAAAAGCGTGACATAGTCTTCTTCATATAATGTACATGCATGAGGAACGTACCCAGGGTTTGACTTTAATTCTTTAGAGTTTCTATTCTAGGACTGGATGGACTATGGCCCAGAACAAGCTATTCAACAAGATCCTCAAAGCTTTGCAGTCTGACCGGCTTGCTCGCTTGGCCAATGAAGGGGTAAGACACTAGAAATCTGCCCAGGGTAGCCTCTTCCTAGTTAAAATCTCACTATCTGACTTACTTGTTACTCCTCTCCCATTGCTAACAAGGTGGCCTTCGTGTTTAATCAGTTCCACTTACGTTTTTCAGGCTTGCAATGAGCCAGTGCTGCGCCGTGTTGCTGTGGACAAGTGTGCGAGGAGAGTGAGGCAAGCTCTGGCAAGTGTGAGTTGGGACACCAAGCTGATCCAGTGGCTACACACTACCCTGGTGGAGACCTTGAGTTTGCCCATGCTGGCAGCCTACTTGGATGCTTTGCAGACACTGAAAGGGAAGGTAAGGCTGTGATTGATGTCTGCCCTATCCCTGGGGGTAGCCAGGCTCTGCCTGTGGGAACAGGATGTGCGGTTGGGCAAGCTCAACCTGGAGGGCATGACTGAAGCTAACAGGTTTGCTCTTATAAATAGAAAACAAGGTATCATTTCACATTGGCTTTTGGTATAAATGTCTTTAGTCCTGCTGTCTCCAGGCTGAGGCATGGGACTTAAAAACTAGAGTATACATTTAGTGTCTTCAGACCTTTAGCTTGTGATTTGACTCATCTTTGAGGTGAGGTGAGGTGAGCTGGGGTAATAATTCTCTATGAATTATCATAGAGAAGATGATGGGCTTACTAGAGAGGAGTGTTGAGAAGGATGTAAGATTCATGGTGTGCAGAGTGCTGGGGGTTTGGAGCAGGGTGTGACACCTCATTCTCTGCTCATCATGGTATGAGTTTTAGTAGCAACACTTCATTTTAATCATTTTTGGTGTGGCTTTTTATGAAACACACTTAGACTCGCACAAAGCTGAGTTATAATTCAGGTTTATTATGATTTCTGTTATTATAATATTATACTATATATTATACTGGCTATATAGAATGTCCAATAAAGGTAATCATAATAAACCTGGGCTGCATAAAGTGTCCACCACTCATCTGTCAGTTTGTCCTGCTGTGGTAGCTTGCATGGTGCTATGATGTTAGAAACTATTTCAAATACCAGTGGGGTCACCCATGGTAGACAGGTTTCAGTGGAGCTTTCGGACAAAGGCAGGAAGCTAGGAAGAGGGACCTGGTGATCTACTTTGGAAAAATTAGCCAATGAAAACCTTATGAACAGCAGTGGAGCATTGTCTAATATAGTGCCAGAATATGAGCCCTTCAGCTTGGAAGGCATTCAGAATATGGCTGGGGAAGAGCTGCCTCTGCAAAGTAGAGGCAACCTTAATGATGTGGCTAGAGTAAAGCTTTCAGGACCTTCATTTGCTGATGTGGCACAACTCAACATGAGAGGAAACATCTGCAAACAACCTTAAATAACCTTAAATAACTTAAATAACTCAAATAACTGGAATGTGGAATGTGTGAAGTATGAATCTAGGAAAATTCTGCGTTGTCAAAAATGAAATGCTTGAAGATCAATATCCAAGGCACTAGTACTAGTGAGCTGAAAATGGACTGGTATTGGCCATTTTGAATTGGAAAATCATACAGTCTACTATGTCAGGAATGATAAATTGAAGAGGAATGGGGCTACTTTCATTGTCAGAACATTTCAAAAGCTATCCTGAAGTACAGTGTTGTCAGTAATAGGATAATATTTATATGCCTACAAGGAAGACCAGTTAATATGACTGTTCTTCAAATTTCTGCACCAACCACTAATGCCAAAGATGAAGACATTGAAGATATTAACCAACTTCTGCAGTCTAAAGTTGATCAAACATGTAGTCATGCATTGATAGTTACTAGTGATTGAAATGGGAAGGTTGGAATCAAGGATTGGTAGCTGGAAAATATGACTTTGGTGATAGAGATGATCCTGGAGTTTGCATAATAGAATTGTACAAGACCAATGAGATTCATTGCAAATACTTTTTAACAACAACATAAATGATGATGTCTACACAAGTGAACCTCACCAGATGGAATACACAGGAAGCAAATTGACTACATGTGTGGAAAGAGATGCCAGAGAAGCTCAGTATCATCAGTCAAAACAAGATCCATGGCCAACTGTGGAACAGACCTTCAGTTACTCATGTGCTATGTCAAGTTGAAGCTGAAGAAAATAAAAACAAATCCATGAGACCCAAAGTATGACCTTGAATATATCCCACCTGAATTTAGAGACCATCTCAAGAATAGATTTGACACACTGAATACTAGTGATTGAAGACCATAGGAGTTGTGGGATGATATCAAGGACATTATACATGAAGAAGCAAAAGGTCATTAGACAAGAAAGAAAGAAAAGACCAAAATGGATGTCAGAAGAGGCTCTGAAACTTGCTCTTGAAGGTAGAGTAGCTAAAGTGAATGGAAGAAGTGATGAAGTAAAAGAGCTGAACAGAGGATTTCAAAGTGCAACTTGAGAAGACAGAGTAAAGTATTATAATGAAATGTTTAAAGACCTGGAATTAGAAAACCACAAGGGAAGAACATGCTTAGCATTTTAAGCTGAAAGACAAAATTTCAAGCCTTGTGTTGCAATATTGAAGAATTCTATGGGAAAAATACTGAATAACAGAGAAGGCATCAAAAGAAGGTAGAAGGAATACAGAGTCACTGTACCAAAAATAATTGGTTGATGTTCAGCCATTTCAGAAGGTAGCATGTGATCAAAAACTGATGGTATTGAAAGAAGTCCAAGCTACACTGAAGGCACTGGTGAAAAACAAGGCTCCAGGAATTGACGGATTGCCAATTGAAATGTTTCAACAAACGGATGAACACTGAAATAACTCACCAATCTATGCCAAGAAACTTAGAAGACAGCTACCTGGCCAACAGATTGGTAGAGAGCCATGTTTGTGCCCATTCCAAAGAAAGGTGATCCAACAGAATGTGGAAATTAATCAAACATTATCATTAATATCACATGTAAATAAAATTTGTTGTTGTTTTTGTTATGTGCCGTCGCATCAGACCGGACTCATAGTGACCCCCTCCTTGCGTTTTTGAGGCAGTATCACTGTGGAAGTAGATGCCTAACCTTCCTTCCTAGGAGTGGCTGGTGGGTTTGAACCACCAGCCTTCTGGTTAGCAGTCAAGTGCCTTAGACACTGCGCTCCTAAGTATCTCCTAAGTAAAATTTAGCTGAAGGTAAAATAAAAAACAATAGCAGCAGTACATCAACAGATGACTGTGTGGAATATAACAAATTATGGATAATATTAGGAAGAATGGGAATTCCAGAATACTTAATTGTGCTCACATGGAACCTGTACGTTAGACCAAGAGGCAGTCATTTGTACAGAACAAGGGAATTCTGCATGGTTTAAAATCAGGACACGCACACATCCGGGTTATATTCTTTTGCTCTCGTTACTCAGTCTCTGTATGCTGAGCAGATAATCTGAAAAGCTGGACTATAGGAGGAAGAACATGGCATCAGGATTGGAGCAAGACTCATTAACAACTTATGATATGCAGATGACACAGCCTTGCTTACTGAAGGTGAAGAGGACTTGAAGTACTGACTGCAAAGCAAAGAGGACTTGAAGCAAAGACTGCAGCCTTCTCAGTATATCACCTCAATATAAAGGAAACAAAAATCCTGAAAACTGGGTTAATAAGCAACATCAGGATAAGTGGAGAAAAGACTGAAATTGTCAAAGATTACATTTTATTTGGTTCCATAATCAATGCCATGGAAGCAGTAGTCAAGAAATCAAATGACATATCGTATTAGGCAAATCTGGGCAAAAGGCCTCTTTAAAGTGTTAAAGAGCAAAGGCATCACTTTGAAAAGTAAGATATACCTGACTCGAGCCATGGTATTTTCATTTGCCTCAAATACGTGTGAAAATTGGGTAGTGAATAAGGAAGACTGTAGAAGAATTGGTGCATTTGAATTATGGTGTTGGTGAAGAATGTTAACTACACTGTGGACCTCCAGAGAGTAAACAGATCTGTCTTGGAAGGAGTACAGCTAGAGCACTCCTTAGAAAGGAAAGTGAGGAAACTTTGTCTCACGATCTTTGGTCATGCCATCAGGAGGGGACCAGTCCTTGGAGAATGACATCGTAGTTGATAAAGTTGTTGTTGTTAGGTGCTGTCGAGTCATCTCCGACTCATAGCGACCCTATGCACAGCAGAATGAAACACTGCCCAGTCCGCGCTAGCTCCATGATCCCTGATATATTTGACCCATTGCCGAAGCCACTGTGTCAATCCATCTCATTGAGGGCCTTCCCCTCTTTCGTCGACCCTCCACTTTACCAAGCATGACATCCTTCTCCAGGAAATGGTCCCTTCTGACAACATGACCAAAGCAGGTGAGATGAAGTCTGGCCATTCTCACTTCCAAGGAGGATTCCGGCCGCACTTCCTCCAGGATAGATTTGTTAGTTCTTTTAGCAGTCCATGGTACCAGCATTCTTTGCCAGCATTACAACTCAAAAGCATCAATTCTTCTTCGGTCTTTCTTATTCATTGACCAGCTCTCAAATGCACATGAGGCGACTGAAAATATCATGGCTTGTGTCAGGCACACCTTAGTCCTCAAGGAGACATATTTGTTCCTCAGCACTTGAAAGAGGTTCTTTGCAGCTGTCTTGCTAAATGTCGTCTGATGTCCTGACTGCTGCTTCCTGTGGTGGTGTTTGTTGAACCGAGCAATGTGAAGTCTTTAACACCTTCAATCTTTTCTCCACTTGCCATGATGCTGCTTACTGGTCCAGCTGTGAGGATTTTTGTTTTCTTTATGATGAGATGAATCCATATTGCAGTCTGTATGCTTCAGTCTTCAGTAAGTGCTTCAAGTCATCCTCATTTTCAGCAAACAAAGTTGTGTCATCGGCGTATATCAGGTTGTTAATGACTCTTCCTCCAATCCTGATGCCACGTTCTTCATATAGTCCAATTTCTTGGATTATTTGCTCAGCATGTAGATTGAATAAGTGTGGGGAAAGGATACAACCCTGACACACTCCCTTCTTGATTTTAAACCATGCAGTGCCCCCTTGTCTATTCAAATGACAGCTTTCTGGTCTATATACAGGTTCCTCATGAGTAAAATTAAGTGTTCGGGAATTCCCATTTTTCTTAATGTGATCCATAATTTGTTAAGATCCACACAATCAAACGGTTTTGCATAGTCGATAAAACACAAGTAAACGTCTTTCTGGTATTTTTTGTTTTGAGCCAAGATTCATCTGACATCAGCAATGATATCCTTTGCTCCACATCGCCTTCTGAATCCAGCCTGCCCCTCTGGAAGTTCTCTGTCAATATAATGTTGCAACCATTTTTTAATTATCTTTAGTAAGATTTTACTTGAATGTAATAT